ACACACAACCACAAACACACAACCACAAACACACAACCACAAACACAAGCACACCCACAAGCACACAACCACAAACACACAACCACAAACACACAACCACAAAAGCACATCCACAAGCACACACTCACAAAGACACGACCACAAAGACACAACCACAAACACACAATCACAAAGACACGACCACAACCAAAACCACAACTGCAAACACACAACCACAAAGACACAACCACAACACAAAGACACAACCACAACCACAAAGACACAACCACAAACACACAACCACAAACAGACAACCACAAACACAACAAGAAACACACAACCACAAGCATACAATCACAAACACACAACCACAAACACAACAACAAACACACAAACACAATCACAAAGAGACAACCACAGCCACAACCACAACTACAAACAGACAATCACAAAGACACAACCACAACCACGACCACAACTACGAACACACAATCGCAACCACTACCAGTACCACAAACACAATCACAAGCACACAGCCACAAACACAACCGCAAGCACGTCCACCAACACACAATCACAAACACACAGCCACAAACACACAATCACAAACACAACCACAACACAGCACACAACCACAACCACAACACACAACCCGAGGACCCACAAGCAAAATCGAGAACTACAATACTCACGACCATGGCAACATGCTCCTCACTATGGCATCAAGACAAATGAATACAAATGATTGGAATGTCATGGTGGGAATCACTCGAAGTAAAGTATTTGTTGTTTTCTCTCTCTCTCTCTCTGTTGGATGCCCATGGATCATGGGATGTGCCATGAGTCGAGTCTTTGATCACGGCTTCTTCACCTTCAGGTGGAGGAATCTCCGCCACCTTCCCTTTCCAGGCTCCAAAGACTTCAAACATTTTCACACCATAGAAGATTGTAGACCCTGGTCGCAACATGTTTCACAAGCATCGCAGCCCTCCCTGAAACTCCAAGACTGAGCACCACGTGGCTCTTTGCCCAAGGTGGTTGAAGCGATGGGCGGCCCAGCCGTTGTCGTCTCCCTAGGCCGCCGCGATGCGGCGCGGCCCGACGGCGAGGGACGTTTGCCGGAGGGCGGCTTGACGGTGACTGGGCGTCAGGGGCAACTGATGGGCATGCCAATTTCTCAGCAAAAGCAGGGCATATGACTCAGCTGCTTCTGAACTAGACGGTGCAAAACCCTTACCAACAATCACACACACAGACACACAAACACACACCTATAGTGTTTTTGTTGTGTTGTGTGTTTTGGAAGTTGGTTTGCCGACTATTGCCATCACATGTGAATGGGCTGGGTCGCATCGCACCTGTCATCAAAGTAGAACCCGATTTTCACTGTAATTGCCGGTGCTTTGGGTTGGTGCGGCTGGGACACCAGAATCGCCTCAGACGGCAGGTCAATTCTTCAAGATTCTTCGAGTCGATTGTATGACTTGGTATGACCAGCTCCACCTGGACCCTCCAAAGCACTTTTGTTCTTTGGGTACTGACAAGACTTGATCACTCTTTGGGCTGAGTACACTCAATCCGACATGTACCGCATGCTCAAAGAACAGCCATTCATGGCATGCATGATAAGCTAACTCTGTTCCAGAGCAAAGGATCCAAGCTTCGTGCGGCCGGCGTTTCTTCCGCTCTTCTGCATGCTTGAAAGCCGTGGACCTGTTCGCCGGTGTTTTCGGGCCAAATGATGCAAAGTAAAGGAAAACAGTGTCCAATCCGGACACATCCACAAGTCCGGCGGTCCTTCTTTTCAATGCGGTCGCCTCCAAACCTCAACATGTCCCAAAAATGGTTATGGACGCTGCACGCTGGTGAACAACGCTCTGCACGCTGGTCCCAAACGTGTCGGACAATACTCTTGACACATATAAAGGGGCCGTCATGTCGGAATGCCCCTGCCAGTGCTCACAAGAAGCACCACCTCGATATCAAAGCGACCCCAAAAACGAACCACACAACCCAAGAACAACTATCTAAATCGATTGTTGTGGCACCACGGGTCCAGAAAAAGGAAGCTAGCGCAGGTGCCGGTCCAACGAGTTCCGTTCGTCCAACGAGTTCCGATCGAGAGTCTTCTCAGGCCGGCGCCTTGAGGGACTACTTCCTCCAGCTGGGGCTCGACGATGAAGAGCTCGTCGCCTTGATGGGCGCGCACACCGTGGGTCGGTGGACCTCCTTACTGGGCGTGCCGGACGAATGCATGGCCAAGGCGGAAGAATCCGCAGAGACTTCTGGAGAAGGGTTAATTACTGCCACTTTTTTGGGGGTGAGAAAGGACCCTCGGTCAACCTGTTTTTCAAGGTGTGGAAAGCGCGGAACCCTGCAATGCATTCTGGATGGTTCATTTGAGAAATGGTTGGACACCCCCCGTCCGTCGGAGTGTTTTATCTCGGATCAATTCCTCCACACTCTCGCTATTCAAGAGCAGTGATATCTGATAAGGGAACAGTTTTTCCCCACAATTCATGCATATCCATGCCATCAGCATCCCTGTGCGAATTTCCTCTAAAAAATCAGACAACCCGGGTTGTCATAAAAAACAAAAACGGACGAAAATATACAGTGCCAGTCTACAACTGGAACCTGGGGGTTCCCATTCTCTATAACGCCAAGAGGGGGTTGATTTATTAGAGACTTTGGTTGTCGAGCGTTAGCTCGAGAATGGGGTGGATTTTTTAGAGAAAAGAGTCTTTGCAAAGCCAGATTTGCAAATCCTAGCATGGGCTCAACACACAGATGCAGAGACCATACCAGGATCATCCATAAGCAAGCATCAAGAAGAAGATGCATGAGTCGACTTTGTTCCACTCGAACTCGGACTGTCAATTCTTTAGGCCTTTTGAGCTTTTCCTTCAAGTCTCCAATTCTTTAGCAGATGCAATCTGGCTTTTGATTCTTTAGAGAATGTTCTTGATTTTTTAGTGCCACTTCTGGATACTGAACCTGGGGGTTCCTAAAGAATTGACAGTCCGGGTGTGAGTGCGAATTGGAAGGGTGATCCATCAGCTTTGATATTAGCAGGTTGGAGTGTAGATTGAAATCATTAATCAGATTCTGCAGTTCGTTGCCTTGCATTCCTTTTTATTCCTTTTGGTCCGCTCAGAGTGACCGGATGTGACCGAAACATACCGAAGAGAGAGAGAGAGAGAGAAGGCGCAGACAGTAGGGTAGTGTTAGACAATGTTATATAGACATCGTATATATTTACCAAATCGTAAGTTTAGTTCAGTTTCAGTTGCAGCTTATCATCCTCATACTTGCAACACTGGCCCTCCAAGATCTCCAGTCTCGCAGGAGGGCTTGGCTTGGTGGAGGTGCACTCGGGAACAAGGGCAACGACTTCCCTTTACATCCCATCCCACCGTTTCTTGGTCGCCGAAACTCGATCCTTGCGGCGCTCGAAACGACTTCTCGACTTCGCTCGATGTCTCGATCCCACGGAGGCAGGATGCGGGGGGCCCGTGTCTCTTTTTCCCATGTACGGTTAGGCCCGTTCACGTACGGTTAAGCAATATATCGACCTTTTACCCGTTCATAGAGACTGTGCGATAGCGGCTATCACTTTCGCCCACCGAACCGTGGTCTCTTCGAGCTCAGTCTCAAGAGAGTGTGCGCAATGTGTGTGTTAGCGCTGTGATGGATTTCGGTGGCCACATGGCTTTCGTGGGATTTCGTTGCAAATCACCCACGTGCATGTGTGATTGTGAACCCCAGCAGTTCTTGGTTATTGGTGATGCTCAGCCTGCTTATTCAAGGGTAGATGGGTAGACTGGTAGACCAACTAACTCAATTACTGTCCTTGTGGAGCCTTTTGGGAGGAACAGCCTGAGTTTGATAGTTTGGGTCTTCACCAGCGTTTAAGACCACATGAAAGACCACTCCAGGTCTTCAACAACGAGTACTTCAAAGATGTCTTAGAGTTCGAGAGGCGACAGCAGATGCCACGACCAGCGAAGCGTTTCAAAGACCGAGTCGACAGCGAGAAGTTGCCACCATTGTCGCTGAGCATTCCATGGATGTCATGTCCCTGAGCATCCATCCACTCCCCACACGAGGCTCAACACACCATGGATGACGCTCATGACACCATGGATGCAAAAACAGATGCATCGAAAAGGTGCTTGGGGATGCCAATGTCACCATGTTTTTTTGGGGCGGATTTGAATCAACCACATTGTGGGGGAGAAACGCGAACCTCTTGGAACGGGAGCATTTGATTGCTATGCTACGAGCTAGGTGGATCCGGTGGATCCGGGTCACTACTGAGTGGACGAGTGGGTTCAAAGGTAGCTTTACTATGATTTACTTCCTAACTTACCAACCATAGTACTCCGAGGGGGGGTGCTTGAGGTATCTCTTGCCCTCGGACCTGGGACTCCTCTATGACGAGGGCCTCCACCAAGTGGTGAAGACCTTTGCCACCGACCAAGCAGCCTTCTTCGCGGCCTTCGCGCGAGTGGCTGGGCCGAATTGGGCTGACAGAAGGTCGACTGGCCCAGGTGCCTCCCAAAGTTCCAAGCTGGAGATTCTAGTTTGAGAGGTGTTTAGACTAATTGCATCTCAAATCATTTATAGAGAAATCCTGCGTGAACAAAAGAGCATCTTTTGAGCTGAGACCAGCCAAGACCGTTCGTCAGACCTTTACGGTGGAGTTTAGAAGCTAGATCTTGGCTTCCAGACAAGGCAAGCGTGGAGATCTATAGAACGGAGTTTCAGACTTTCTCATTCATTGGTGCCCAT